CACACTGGTTGCTGCAAGGTAGAGGGTGGTTAGAAGGGGCTTGGCGTGAATAACGGGTCATTTGTAAAGCCAGGCATGGGTACAAAATGCGTATCTGCCTCTGTATCTGGAAAAAAGGAACCGCAGATAATCTGCATCGACATCTGTGGATGCGGATCCCCATGGATTTGCAAGGCTCTAGTCATCTGCCCCTTCCCAGTATATTTGTTCAAAGAACTCCCAGTTTCCTGGCACTAACTCAGGGGTGGGCAATAAGATGGCAGTGCAGGACACTGCTTCCCGCAGCTTCCATTGGCTGGGAACAACAGTTTGCAGCCAACCGAAACTGCAAATGCTCATACCTGTGGAGGTGCAGATAAATACAGGGGCAGCCACCCAACCGGGGGCTAATCCTGGCAAACCACATCCAGTCTATAAGCCAGCGGCTAATCCTGGCAAACCACATCCAGTCTATAAGATGGTTATTTCTTGCCACTGCATTAACTTGCTCAGCCTCAGTGTCTGCTGGGTGAGTGCCGTTCCGTTTGACATAGAGGGAACAGGCTACAATGAGTGAAGCTGAAGATAGAACCCAGGAGTCCTGTCTGCTTCACCCATTGAAAACCACATTTCCAGATCACACTTTCAGAGCCAAGAATAGAGCCCAGGAATCCTGATTCTGGGCCCTGGCTCTCACCACAAAGTCAGGCTTCCTTAGACAGTAATGTTTTTCACTGATAGTTCCTGATTCTGGTACTAATAGCTCCATAGACAGAATTATTTTCATCTGAGTGCAGTGACTATCTGATCTTGAGTATGGAACTGTTCTCAGAATGCCTGAACTATTGTACATAGCCTGGCACACAATTGTTGTGACAGATTGTTTCTTCAGTTCATGCTTAATGCAGTTGTGCTCCTCTTGCCACCCTTCAGTTGAGGCTTTAGCTTCAGCTTTCATAAAGTGAGAATCTATGGAGATTATATGTTGTCAACCTATTTTATAGTCTCTTATTTTTCAGTTAAACAAGATAAAATTATGTACTTATCAAATGTGATATTACATTTTTTGTCAGGTAACAATGACAAGTAATAAAATAAAATCTGATGAAAATAGAAGTAAGCGTAGAAAAGAGATGGAGGTGAGTTGTTTTCTCAGGCTTTGATTGGGGAGAGGAATGGACAGGGGAACCCTTCTAGGGATGAGGGGAGCTCAGTTGAAATGTGCATCCAGTCATTGCTCTCTTCACTGAAACTGCCATGGATAACTATTCAGTCCACCATATTATTCCATGTAAGCTACCAAAGAGTTGTATGGTTTTCTTGAGTGCAATAGGAGATAACAGAATAAAGTTTTTGCTTTTCAAGACAAACAAAATGTAACTTACATATGGCTGCATTTCTCTGTAGGGCTTATCCTGATTGAAAGCAAAACATGAACTATCAAGGTGCATCTACACTGCACATGTAGGTCAAAATAAGATACACAATTTGAGCTACACAAATTGTGCACCTTATTTTGATCTAATTTTGACATAAACCGCTATTCCAAAATGTTCCTCAATCCTTGTGGAAAGAGGGTTACAGTGACATCGGAATAGCAAGCCCATTGTTTTGAAATCTATCTCAAAATAACGGTCTGGTTCAAAAGACATAGAATAGCTAGAGGTATCCCGAAATAGCACCGCAGCCTAGACATACCCTTAAAGAAAATGGTTGTCTATTGAACCAGTCAAATATCTCAAGTCAGTGTTGAAAACAGACTTTAATTTCATCCATCCCCATAAATCATCTTGCTTTCCATATATAGGAATTGTCTGAATGGTTAGATCCTTTTTGTGTCTTTTCATTTCATTGAGTGTTAATGTAGCATCATTTTGCAGCACAGCTATGCAACATATGCCAGACTTGTCCCTGTTTGAGTTGTGGGAAAATCTGAGAAACTATCCCATATTGCCTTATCTGTTGGTGCTCAGAGCAGAAGATTATTGTTTTTTATATGGCACCATGTATTTTAGAGTGTCCTTTGGCAAGATACCGGGGAGACAGACTAGATGGTTTATGAGGTTTTATCTCTACAGCAAGACAAGACCTCATATTCTAACTTGATGATCACATTACCTGTTCACATTCACAATACACTCACATGGGTAAGAACATAAGTTGCGTGTGAAGTCACCGTACTATAACCTTAATTTAAAATAAAATCCAAAATACAGTCCCCACATTTTTTTGATAAAAATTATTTTTGCGAAGTTTCAAATTCCTAAGAACCTGCACTAGCATGCATTTTCCCCCATGTGTTTTGTTACTAGAATGAAGCTTCAGAAAGTCCGCAGCTGTCCTCTCTTGAAAGACCAGACTTGGCTCTTTCTGAAAGCTCACAGTCACTTTACAATCCCGAGGCACTGGAAAAGGTTTTAAATGGTGATGTATTAAAAATATTCAGATTACTCAGACATAAATGTTGACATGAACCAGACGATTCAAGCTTTTGAAATAAAATATTTGTATTAACAGATATAAACAAGGAAATTAATAACCTGTTGTCAAAATATGCCCACATTTTAAGGCAAGTCAGTTTTAAACTTTTTATACATTTTTATATACTTAAAATATAAGCATCATTCTGCTTATGGGATCATTCTTGTTTCTTATAATATTTTTAGTCTATCTACTTGTCAACCTTGAGAGTGGATTTGATGCAGTGTGGTTTGATGGACTAATGGTTTTAACTGCATGTGATGTAATTCTCCTCCTGATGCAACCTCATAGTTCTGAGTAGTGTTAGAATGTTGCCAGCTTTATCACAAAGCTTTCTTTTAAATCTTAGAACAAAATACAGAACCTACCTTTTGCCTACAAGCTTACACTGAAATATAAATATGCACAGTTTTTTAACTAAAAAATACAAAATAAGAAACTACCTCTGTAAGTAACATCAGGACAGGAAGACAAAAATATTTTAACATTTTTTTTAACTGATGGAAGGCACTTTGGTACTACAGCAAAGAGTGCTAATATAAGAACCTAGAATATGTAAAGGTGGGATATGGTGTGGTGAAGTTTGGTGGAGTGTCTGCAGTGTCAAGAAACTGTGGAAGAAAAAGATCAACCCTAAATCCTGAAATAACAAACTCCTGTATTATTCTATGAAATTAAAGAGGTAATTTAGTCATATATTCTGCTGACTGATAGTCAACAAATTTAAAAGCAAAGCATTGAAGCAATTCTAAATATCAGTAGTAGCTGAGAATGTTAATATTTTTTAAGTATTAATTTTAACATTAGTTTTTTTAATTAAGTGATAGAGCAGCAGTGGATGCTTCTTATGTACAAGAGCTTGATGGAATCTTGAAAGAAGCAAGGATCATAGAAAATCATTTGAAGCAGAAGAGAGAGAGTCTGAGGAACAGGTTCACAGTCATTGCAAACACTTTGCAAAGCTAAAATTGATTTTGTCTGGAAAATAAGTTGAATGTAGGGCACAGAGTGTTGGTTATGTATGGTGTTGTGTACTAGAACATAAATTGTATGAAAGATGCAGGGTGTCATACTCACATTAGTATCTTTCAGTTCAGGCAAATTTTTACATTTTTGGAAGCAGCATATTTTATTGAAATATAACAAAAAATCAAAACAAAGACAATAGATACTATTTAGTGCAGTGTTAATTAGTGATACAAGGCACTGATCTCTGTTATAAAACCCATGCCTTCAAGGGTTTTTTTTTAAATCAACTGATAAGTTTATCATCTTTGATGGCTTGCTGACCCACTGTTTACACAGAGCCTTGGGTTTCCTTCCCTTGAGCATTCTGAAAAGATGGGAAGAACAAAATAAAGGGATCTTTGAGTTAGTAGATTTCAAGGGTTTGGATCTATCACAGAAGAACAGAAGTGGGCAGGACTTTGATACTAAAATCTAGGATTTTATCAAACATTGTCATGACTAAACTTTTCTCCCAGAACATATGTGACATCCTTTAACAAACTTCGCTAACAGTATACATGAAAATAGTCTTTAAATTGTTTTTTCACTTACTGATTTCTGTTATTGTTTGTTTCTATATGGTGGATTTAATTCTACAAACAATTCTTACAAGAATAAAGTATTGTTTGAGGTCTTAGAATATATAGAAAGGAAGGAAGCTTGGGAATGAGGGAGCTAAAAGGATCTTATTCTGGAAGGGTGCAAAATACCTTTTTACAATGTTTATTTGAAAATACACTTTAGCTCTTCTGTTGATTTTAAATGAATTAAAGGGCAAGATTTACAATGCTTTGGGTCACATGGTCAAATCCCCATGTAATATGTTGAAAATTAACCCCATACTATGTCAGTATTGTGTGGCATATATACAGTTTACTTAATACTTGAATAGTATTTGGACAGTTTTTCTGCACTATCTGTTGACTGAGTTCAAACAATAAAATGTACAAGGCATCAACTGTGCTAAGCTAATGTAAGAAAAAGAACCACTAGAAAGTCCTGTAGGTTGGTGCCTAAATAGCTTTGAAAATCTGAGCCCTGATCTACTTCTTACTGTGTATCCATTTTATAAGAATATTACATTAGCTTAACAATTTTATGTTATCTTTTAAAATACATTATTACATTGCTCTTAATGGGTACTGTAAAAGGTTAATTTAGGAGAATGGGAGAGATGTATAAAACAACTAGAGTTTGTAGAATGCCATGGTAGCTGCAGTTTACAACCTTCATAAACTTAATTTTACACATGACATCACTGTTAATATTTAATGTTCACTATTCTGGATTGTATGTTTGTCTTGTCATACCTTCCACCTTAATTTAGACAAAATCAAAATGTGAAGACGGAAGATATTCTCCACCTTGATTTACAAATAATACTAATTAATATAATATTTTTGTTTACTACTCTAAAATGTTTATCTTAGACTAAGAATTTGGCTCTCTTTAAAAAAGGGAAATTGCAAAATTATGGTTAATCATAGTTTCACAAAACTCCATCCAAAATGTTTCCTTGGACAGGTCAGCACTCTTGTTACTGAATTTAGAAACCTAAATCCTTATTTAAGCACCTAAATAAATGGTGCCAAGAAATCCATTGGTGCCAAGAATTCAGTGTCCATTAAAGTCAAGGGGAGTTAGTCACAGGTGCTCACATCTGTGGTAATCAGGCCATTTATTTAGATGCCTGACTATGGATTTAGATGTTCTCAGGCATGCCAGTTGAAAATTTTGGCTGAAACATTTATAGTATCAGTAAAAATTAGAGCTCATGAAAGACCCATTGGAACACATTGTTAAAATTCTTTGCCAGTAACATTATTTTTACAGAGCACTGTCCAATACCATTACGTCTGCAATGCTTTGCAAAATTTAAAGATGTTATGAAATCTATTTAATATGAGTATAATTTGTAGATATAAGTGCATGTCTTTCAAGTATGATTGCACAGTCAGGCTCTAAGGTGCAATTAAATGCAAGGTATTCATTTCTGAAGAATCATCATTAGTTTTGTGTAGTCATGTCTCATGTAACTTGTTCTTTTTGCATCTGAGCTGTTTCATGTAAAATATCATTCATAACCTATGTCACCCAAGTTATAAGAGTCTGCAGATGTTACATGTTAGGACTTTGTTCTAGTGACTGTGCTTTATAGTCCAAAAACATATTGAAGATAAAATCATTTGTCATGTCCATAGTTATGCTTCATAGTTAAGTGGATTGCCAAAAACAATAAAAAAATCTTATGATACGTTTTGTTTTTTTTTAAAGTGCAGACACGAAGTTTGCCTGATTTTGAAATAGTCACTTATGTGCATTTCTGCAGTGCTTATCACCATATTATTTGGGTAGCAAATAAACAGAAATAAAGATCGATTCAGTTCCTCCAAAGAAGACCAAAGCAGGCATCTCATACTTATGTACATTTAGGCAACTACCTAAAGAAATATTATCAACTTGATTTTTTAAAAATGAATTTTGTAAAGGTTCAGCTTCTGATAAAATGTTATTTAAAATAGTATGTCCTGAATCTTTAGAACATTTCATTCAAGTAAAACGTTTCTCCTTCCTTTGATGGTTTGGAATGTCTGGGAAGTCAGCTGAGATGCTTAAGATACCACTGAGACTGCCTCTCAGTTAACCTGGGCCCCCTTTTACCTGGTCTTGCTTAGCCAGGCTCTCAAGCCTCCTTCAGCAAAGTACAAAGGCAGAGATACAGATGAGTTCTGGGAGGACTCAATTTAAGGGACACCCACAGGAAGGCCAAGTCTTTTCACACAGTCCATTGTTCTAGCTGATGAGCCCTACCTTGCTTTTACCTTGAAGTGTCATCTGTAAAGCAGCAATATGAAATTCAGATACACAGATCAATATTCCTAACTTCAGATTCAAAAATGATAAATGCATACAAATGGAATTATCATATTAATCAAATCATAATCTTTCTAATTATACCTTACATGAGCCATCCTACATAAAGCATATCTCAATTACGTTATATTCATATCATAAGCATGTTTTCATAAAGCATATGAATGCCATGCCACATTTATCTATTGATTTTATAAGTCTTGTCATCTGTGTAAAAACTGATTGACTAGCTAAGTTCATGTTTCAATTTTTCTTAGTTGAAAAAAGAATCTGCAGTAACAACCTTATTAGCTAAAAGTATCAGAGTGCTCTTTCTGTGTGCCTGTTGGCTGCTGTTAGTGTTCTGCACTGCTCCTATAGGGTAGGTCTAAACTACAGAGAAGATCAAAGCTGCTGCTGTCAATCTTTCAGGATTTGAATTAGCAGGTCTAGTGAATTTGCGGCCACCATGCCACCGCAGAGAGTCTATCAAGAGTTTTTTCTATTCCGTAATGTCCCTGTGCATGAGATAGGGATAATAACTCTTGCCTAAGTACTGTGGGCATAATTAAAACTGGAATTTCTTCGTCACTCAATGATTCTGTCTGTCTCTGTGCCATGATTATTCCTGTATGGTGCTTAAAGATTCTATAATTCTTAAATTTCTCTTAGTTTCATGATTTCTTGATCTGAAGTTTGTAATTTTAGAATGTCCATCATTTCCTTATCACCTGCTGGTTCAACTGAGTTAATCACTTCAGAGGCTACTCTCCATGATTGATTCGGGGGTAATGTTGCTGCCTTTTTTGCTAGTTGATCTGCACGGTTATTGAAATTAGAAATTTCCTCTTGATTTTTCTGGTGTGCTCTCAATTTAAACAGGTAAGTTTTTCCTTTCCGCGACTTTGCCAAGTTCCATGCATGGTTTAATAAGTTGGCATGTGCTACCGGTTTATTATTGGTTGTGCACATTCTGCGTTCCCTCCACACCAGCATCCAATCAATAAGCGGTCTGAGTACCCAGAGTCCATGCAAATAGTGATTTTTTGTTCCGAAGGGCTGTTTTCAAGAGCTAAGATCACTGAGAGGATTTCCACAGCTTGTGCAGATGTGACCAAAATAGTCTTTAGTATTTTAGTTTCCGAGGCCACATGTAATGCTGCTGCCCCCACGGATAACTGTCCATTATACCTAAGGCAGCTTCCGTCCACCACCCATATATTATTAGGAGTATAGTCTTTGCTCAACTCATATTTATCCACTAAAAAAAATGGTGATGTTTCTGTAGGAATCTTGATGCCAGGGATTGGACATTCATGACTGTTAAGTTCGGTAGGTGAAACAGGATGACAGAGTAGAGCTGGAGCCATATTATAGGTCTTGGAAGGTTCAATTTTAACTCGGTGATTCATTAAAGCTAAAGTCCATTGGGCTATTCTAGGGTGGCTTACCTGCCCATTATTTGCTCGACCAGATATTATGTATCGTACGGGAGTATGACAAGTTCTTAATATGACAGGTGCCATTCCCACAATGTATTCCCAATGTTGTAAGGCCCAGACAAGCACCAATACCTCTTTTTCGCAGCTACTATACTGCTGTTCCAGGAGTGGGAAGGCCTTGTTTGGACACAGACTGGCTAACCTTGTGAGGAGGGCTTTAAACTAGGTTTGTCGGGGGCAGGTGAGCAAAGCCCACAGGTAAGTGCTGAATGTGCGGGACTGGGAGATGGGTTGGAAATGGGGGGGACTACGGCCTATAATGGCAAGGAGAAAGGAGGGTCAGGGCACAACAGGGAGGCAAGATCAAATCAGTATCTTAGATGCCTATATACAAATGCGAGAAGTATGGGTAATAAGCAGGAAGAACTGGAATTGCTAACCAATAAATACAACTATGATATCATTGGTATTACAGAAACCTGGTGGGATGGGACGCATGATTGGAATATTGGTATGGAAGGGTACGGCTTGCTCAGGAAGGACAGACAGGGAAAAAAGGGAGGAGGGGTTGCCTTGTATATTAAAAATGTACACACTTGGACTGAAGTGGAGATGAACGTAGGAGATAGCTGTGTAGAGAGTCTCTGGGTTAAGCTAAAAGGGGTAAAAAACGAGGGTGATATCATGCTAGGAGTCTACTACAGGCCACCTAGCCAGGTGGAAGAGGTGGATGAGGCCTTTTTTAAACAATTAACAAAACTATCCAAAGCCCAAGATTTGGTGGTGATGGGGGACTTCAACTATCCAGACATATGTTGGGAAACTAACACAGCGAGGCACAGGCTATCCAATAAGTTTCTGGACTGCATTGGAGACAACTTTCTGTTTCAGAAGGTTGAAAAAGCTACCAGAGGAGAAGCTGTTCTGGATTTGGTTTTAACAAATAGGGAGGAACTAGTTGAGAACTTGAAAGTGGAAGACAGTATAGGGGACAGTGATCACGAAATAATAGAGTTCATGATCTTAAGGAAAGGTAGAAGGGAGACCACCACAATTGAGGTTATGGATTTCAGGAAGGCAGATTTTGATAAGCTCAGAGAACTTGTAGGTAAGGTCCCATGGGAAGCAAGACTGAAGGGAAAAACAACTGAGGAGAGTTGGAAGTATTTCAAAGGGACGTTGTTAAGGGCCCAAAAGCAAACAATTCCGCTGTGTAGGAAAGATAGAAAATATGGCAAAAGACCAGCTTGGCTTAACAAGGAGATCTTGCATGATCTCAAAATAAAAAAGGAGTCATATAAAAAATGGAAACTAGGACAACTAACAAAGGAGGAATATAGGCAAGCAACACGGGAATGCAGGGGCAAGATTAGAAAGGCAAAGGCACAAAATGAGATCAAACTAGCTACAGGCATAAAGGGAAACAAGAAGACCTTTTATAAATACATTAAAAGCAAGAGGAAGACCAAGGACAGGGTAGGCCCACTGCTTAGCGAGGAGGGAGAAGCAGTAACAGGGAACTTGGAAATGGCGGAGATGCTCAATGACTTCTTTGTTTCGGTCTTCACCGAGAAGTCTGGAGGTGTGCCTAACGTAGTGAATACAAGCAGAGAGAGGGTAAGTTTAGAAGATAGGATACACAAAGAACAAGTTAAAAATCACTTAGGAAAGTTAGATGTCAGCAAGTCACCAGGTCCTGATGAAATGCATCCCAGGATACTCAAGGAGCTGATAGAGGAGGGATCTGAGCCTTTAGCTATGATCTTTGAAAAATCATGGCAGACAGGGGAGATTCCAGAAGACTGGAAAAGGGCAAATATTGTGCCCATCTATAAAAAGGGGAATAAGAACAACCCAGGAAATTATAGACCGGTCAGTTTAACGTCTGTCCCAGGGAAGATAATGGAGCAGGTAATTAAGGAAATCGTATGCAAACACTTGGAAAGTAATAAAGTGATAGGGAATAGCCAGCATGGGTTTGTGAAGAACAAGTCATGCCAAACTAATCTGATAGCTTTCTTTGAAAAGATAACGAGCCTTGTGGATAAGGGAGAAGCGGTGGATGTCATATACCTAGACTTTAGTAAGGCATTTGATACGGTCTCGCATGATATTCTTATTGATAAACTAGGCAAATATAACTTAGATAGGGCCACGATAAGGTGGGTGCATAATTGGCTGGATAACCGTAGTCAGAGAGTTGTTGTTAACGGTTCTAAATCCTGCTGGAAAGGGATAACAAGTGGAGTTCCTCAAGGGTCTGTTTTGGGACCCGTACTATTCAATATCTTCATCAATGATGTAGATATTGGGATAGAGAGTACTCTTATTAAGTTTGCAGATGATACCAAACTGGGTGGGGTTGCAACTTCTTTGGAGGATAGGGACATAATTCAAAATGACCTTAGCAAGTTAGAGAAATGGTCAGAGGTAAACAGGATGAGGTTTAATAAGGAGAAATGCAGAGTGCTCCACTTAGGAAGGAACAATCAGTTCCATACATACAAGATGGGAAGCGACTGTCTAGGAAGGAGCATGGCGGAAAGGGATCTACGGGTCATAGTGGACCACAAGTTGAATATGAGTCAACAGTGTGATGCTGTTGCAAAAAAAGCAAATATGATTCTAGGTTGTATCAACAGGTGTGTTGTAAGCAAAACTCGTGAAGTCATTCTGCCGCTCTATTCTGCACTAGTTAGGCCTCAGCTGGAGTACTGTGTCCAGTTCTGGGCGCCACATTTCAAGAAAGATGTGGAGAAATTGGAAAGGGTACAGAGAAGAGCGACAAGAATGATTAAAGGTTTAGAGAACATGACCTATGAAGCCAGGCTTCATGAACTGGGCTTGTTTAGTTTGGAAAAAAGAAGATTAAGGGGGGACATGATAGCGGTTTTCAAATATCTAAAAGGGTGTCACAAGGAGGAAGGCGAAAATTTGTTCCTCTTGGTTTCTGAGGACAGGACAAGGAGTAATGGGCTTAAAGTGCAGCAGGGGAGGTTTAGATTGGACATTAGGAAAAAATTCCTAACTGTCAGGGTGGTCAAATATTGGAATAAATTGCCAAGGGAGGTGGTGGAATCTCCCTCTCTGGAGATATTTAAGAACAGGTTAGATAGACATCTGTCAGGGATGGTGTAGACGGAGCTTGGTCCTGCCTTGAGGGCGGGGGGCTGGACTCGATGACCTCTCGAGGTCCCTTCCAGTCCTATTATTCTATGATTCTATGATTCTATGATCTGATAGGGTTCAAGATCCATAAGCAACTGGCTTGATGGAGGTTCCTTTCATTTGTAACAATACTGAACCAATGGCTTCTTTTCCTGTCAATAATTGAAGGCTAAATTCCTTATTAGAGTCTGGATAGGCCAGAGCAGGTACTTGCATTAAGGCAGTTTTTAGTTGTACGAATGCTTCCTATTCTTGATTACCCCATTGCCATGGTTGGGTTTTCTTCAACAATTTATACAAAGGTTTGGCTTTTAATCCGAAGTTTTCAATAAAGTCTCTGCTGAATCCCAACAGTCCTAGGAACGTTCTTAATGTGTGGACATCCACAGGGGCAGGTAAACTTGATATCATTTTCACTTGATCTTGATTTGGTTTTCTGCCTTCCTGTCCCAATTTCACTCCTAAATAAGTGAACTTTTTCTGTATAAGTTGAGCTTTCAATGTATTTATCAAAAATCCTGCCTGCTTCAGTGTCTTTAATACCTCATCCAGAACCTTTAAATTGGTTTCTCGATCTTCCGTAGCTATCAAGATGTCATCTACGTAACTCACCATGTGTTGGGCATATTTCATATCTTTCCATAGATTGGATGCAATTTGATGGCATATTGTTGGTGCATTATGAAATCGCTGAGGTACTCATGTAAAAATAAATTGTTGATTTTGATAAGTGAACGTGAATTTGTACCATGATTCCAGATTTAATGGAATTGAGAAAAATGCATTGGGTATATCAAGGACTGTGAACCACCGAGCTCCACTAGCGATTTGTGCCATAATTTCTGGAGCCATCCTGGGTTTTACCTTATTTAATTCTCTAAAGTCCACAGTCAGACTCCATGATTTCTCATCTGCCTTTTTTACTGGCCATATGGGAGAATTGCATGGGCTGGTGCATTTGACGATGACTCATTGGGACAACAATGCTTGTATAGTGTCCTCTATTCCTTTCTCTGCTTCCGTGGGGAATCTGTATTGTTTAATTAGCTTTGCTTCTGGTCCTTGTACTGAAATGGATTGTTGTACCTTTCCACAGCTAAGTTTGTGTTGTGCAAAAATTTCTAGATGTTTATTTACTATTTCTTGAATTTCAGGTTCCCATTCAGGCATGGTGATTTCTTGACACACCTTTACTGCTCCCAAACGGTGGGATGAAGATATCAAAGTCACAACTTCTTCTATGTTATTAGTCTTATAGATACACTTATTTGGCAGATCAATCACCAGTCCACATTTCCTAATTAGATCTATACCAATGATTCCAGTATTATCGAGTTCCTGTAGACCCATAGTATTGGTTATCCACAAAGATCCTATTCGGCATTGTACATCCTTAATAAATGGTGTTACAGATGATTTACCATTGTACGATTGAAGAGTCTTAAGGTGATCAATAGTTACAGCTTTGATTGATGGTACTTGTTTGGTGCAAATCAGGCTAATGAATGCTCCAGTGTCCACAAGTGCCCGTTGTTGGATGGTACCGAACTCCCCATAATATTCCATTTCTATAATTAGTCTTCCGTATAAATCAAAAGATAATGTTGTTATTATATCCATAGCTGGGGGCTGGGAAGTTCGGCCTCTTCACTTCATATCATGGTGGTTCTCACAGTCTGATTAAAAATGGCGGTGGGTCCCACGGTCTGATTCAAAATGCCGGTGGTCTTGCTCCTCCGGTACGGAACCAATATGGTGACGCTCTTGAGACCTGGAAGAATGTTCACAAGATGGCGGCTCTCTACAAAATGGTGGTGCTAGTTCACTGATCATTGCTGGTTTTCCTTCCCAATACACCAGTTCTTTAAAAATTGAGTCTATGTTCATGATTTTAGTTTTTTCCCAAGGTAGGTATTTAGATAACCTTTGAGATAAGACCTTTCTGGTGGCAAAAACATCTTCTCTTTTGCCCACCAAAGTCCTAGGCTGAAAACCAGGCTTGTTTTTCCCTTTGCCCTTTTGATCACTTTTAGGTGGCATTGCAGCTTGCTGACTACCATCACTTACAGCAGATATCTTTTTTGGGTGCTGTTTAAATCCTGCATTGGCTAACTGCTGCAGCTCAAAGACTTCTCACAGCTTTTCCTCCATTACATGATAGGAGAAGCCACATAATCAAAACCCCCTAATTCCAGTTTAAGAGCTGGCAGCAAGCCTTGATAACATATTTTCCTAAATTGGCGAGTGTCACAGTCTAATCTAGCATCCCTCTGAACTCCCAGTCCTGCCAGCCAGTATAATAACTTTTTTCTCATCATACACTGATCAGGCTTCTCAACTTCCCCTTGTTGATTTACATACAGCATACCTAATATATCTTCGTGAGGAAAATACAAATTATATACAGATCTATATAATACAATTTGTTCTATATTAGAATTATTAACAACCTGGTAGGGTAAGGCAAGAAAATCCTCCACTGGCATGCACTCCTTCAACAACATAACCATGACCTCAGGAGCCAGATTTGGAGTAACACAAAAAGTCGAGCCAACCAGTTGAGCACCTTTTCTCTATTGCAAGGCCCCATATTTTTGCCTAGGGCTCTTGTTTGCTCGGGGGTGAGCACCTTTTGTTCCTGCTTGTGTGATGGCGCGTTGGGGGTTCCCCGTCTCCTGCACCCCGAAATGGCACAAACAGACTGCACCAGCCGGTGGAATAGAGGAAGTTTATTGCCTCTCCAGGATACAGCATAGCACAGATGTAGTCTGGTCACAGAGCTGGGCTAGGATGCCTCAGGCCCCCTTGAGTTGGGGGGAGACTGGGCCCCTAAACTCCAGCTCCTCTCCCTAGGCTGTCTCCTCCATCCTCACAGACAGCCAGCAACCAACTAACTCCCTTCCAGCCCTGCCCCCCAGCCAGGGCAGCATTCACCTTCCTTTGTTCCTCTCCATGGGGGGTGTCTGGCCACTGGTTCAACAAGTTTGGCATTACCTTGGCCTAGTGAGGTTTTCCCTGCTGGGTCTTGCTCCAGACAGCAGAGGTCACCACATCCCAGCAAGTACCCCCACTACGTCACAGCTTGATTACAGGCTGTGGCTGCCCTGGATATTGTACTACTGTGGTAGTTATGGGCAGGGATGGCCCTAGATTAGCTGCCAGCATCTGGCGCCCTAGGTGAACCATGCAATTGGCGCCCCCCCGCCTCCAAACCCCTCAACGATATTGTGCCACCATTTGGCGCCCTATTTAACTTGGTGCCCTAGGCGATCTCCTAGTTCGCCTATATGGACGGGCCGCCCCTGGGTGCCATCCATTCAGATCTCTCTACCTCTCCTTCATATGAAGGGGGCGCAGATGGAACACACTCATGACTCTCAGGACCTTCCCCAACCAGTTGGTTTTATCAAATTGGGGTGGGATAGCTGCCACCACTCCCTTTGCCTGCTGCTGCAGCTTAGTAATATCCCTCTGGCATTGAGTGTGATCTCCCACAGCCCTGATATTATTTGCTTCTTAAGAAGCTGCTGGACTGTGGCCTGTGAGTCATTTAACTGGGCATTTTGCTCAAGGATAGCCTCCTCCACCTGGTCATTTCTGAGGCTCAGTTCTGAAACCTTTGCCTCTAATTGGGATATTTTTACATTCAGGCCTTGTATTAAGGTTCCCCTGGACTCTATATCCAAAACCTTTTGTTTTAGCTGACCTTCTAAGGTGGTTACCTGCTCAGCGGCTTTCTCATGAAGGGTTCTCAGTGATTTTAGCTGAGAAGCCAGTTCTCGGCTCACTATGGCCAACTCGTAGAGCAAAGCTCTCTTCTTGTGTTTTTTATTGGAGTTGGGTTTGGCCTCATTATACTTCTCCCAAAGATCTCCAAATTTCACGAACGAATCCTCTCCCTTTAATGACTCTTAAATGGTTAGCAGGTTTTAAACTAATAAAAGAAAGTTCTTCACACAGCATGTAGTCAACCTGTGGAACTCCTTGCCAGAGGAGGCTGTGAAGGCTAGGACTATAACAGAGTTTAAAGAGAAGCTAGATAATTTCATGGAGGTTAGGTCCATAAAAGGCTATTAGCCAGGGGATAAAATGGTGTCCTTGGGCCTCTGTTTGTCAGAGGCTGGAGAAGGATGGCAGGAGACAAATCGCTTGATCAGTGTCTCTGGTTCACCCTCTCTGGGGCACCTGATGCTGGCCACTGTCGGCAGACAGGCTACTGGGCTAAATGGACCTTTGGTCTGACCCAGTATGGCCGTTCTTATGTTCTTATGTTATGTTCTTATGTTCTCTTCAACCCAAGGATTGGAACCTTTACCAAATAAATTGACCGCAAACTCAAGAGTGTTTTTATTATTCTTATGTCTCCAGCCTTAGCTGTCGAACAGCTGGGGTGTAGTCATCCTAACTGTAATGGATTGCTTACCCACTCTAGGCTAAAATAAAACTGAGAGACCAGGTAACTGACTAGGCCTGCATGGCAAAGCCTGTCAGTGGTCCTCACTGCAAAATTCAACCTCAAAATTGAAAGGACGGGCAGTTCAGAACACAGTGCGGGGCCACAGAAAAACTGCGGAGGGGTTTAAAATTGTCACGGCAATGGCCAGGTCACCCTGGAAGTAGGCAACTGCCTGCTTACCGCACTGATCGAACCAGGTAGAAGGGCAGATATGCCCAGCCAGCAGAGTCAGGAACATAGAAGGCCTGCACTGGAGGGGAGCGTCCTCACACTTTACCGGGCAGCAGTCACGCTTCCGGATTTGCAGCAGGGGAAGATAGGGCCCTGGAGGAAATTCCCTCCCTGAGTCAATGGACCGCACTGCTAAACGTTCCTGTTTGTGCTATGGCTCCACTCATAAAAGTCTGAGTGGGCTTCCTAGAATCTGAGAAGGGTCAAATAAACCCTCACCAAGTCCTGCCGCGGTCACCAATCTGTTACCCCAGAGACTCGGGTAAGCAAATGTTCTGTGGACTGACTAAGTTAAATTGTCTCTGCACAGAAGCCAGATCCGGCCTGGTGTTCACATATCTATCATCGGTGGGGTGAAATCCAACACTAAACAAAATGGAGGTCTGTGTTACTTCCTCATGCACGAGGAGGTGCGGTGCCAGATGCAGGGCTCTGGCCTGTAGGTGCTTACATAGAAGGCTCCAAACAGGGAACCTGCCTGATGAGGCAGGCCATGTTTGGGCCATATCTTGCCTGCCCTGATATAGATAGTAGTGTTCATAGCACAGTAATTTCCTTGCTGATTATTTTAGTTCCCCTTCTTTGATATTCCAAAATATCATTTTGCTGCTTTTCTTATCTTGTCCACACTGATGGTGATATTTCTTTACTAATTACCACTCTCAAATATCTCAACATTTATTGGGGGGAGGAAACAAACAAAACTGTTCTTATAATTTACAATGAATCTAAAAGCCGTTCCCACATTGTCACTGGCGAATGAACTACCTATATACTCCAGCTGGCACCTTTCCCACCACAATCCGCTTTCCAGTTTTACTGAGGGAGGTTTGAACTGAAAATTAATTGGCTTTAATGCTGCCAGATCTGATCAGCAAAGCTCAACTGGCAATTAGTTTTCTTTTAAGCTTCTCTCCTACTGTTTAAGCTGTACTGCCTTAGTAAGTGTTTTTTTAAATTAAAGTATAAAATCTCAGATCCATAAGGGCATGTTTACACAGCAGGGCTGAAGCTGAAACAAGCTATGCAACTTGAGCTACATCAAATGTGTAGCATAAGTTGAAATAGCTTATTTTGTCTTTTGGCACTGTCTACACAGCAGAAATTCGGAGAAAGAGCACTCTTCCTCCAACTTCCCTTATTCCTCATAAAATGAGGGTTACAGAAGTTGGAGTAAGAAGTCCTCCAGCTCAACATTATTTTGACATTATGTCGAAATAATGGCTTGCTGTGTAGACGTGGACTATGTTATTTCAGAATGTCACTTATTCTAAAATAACACCGCTGTGTAGACGTATCCTTATAGAATGTAAATGTACTTTAAAATAGCCCTCATCTGAAGAAGTGGGCTGTGCCTATGAAAGCTCATTATACCATCTACGTGTTTTGTTTGTCTTTAAAGTACTACTAAACTATTTGTTGTTTTTTAAGTTTTTAAAATAGCAAATATGTCTGGTGCAAAATATTAATCCTACTGAAGAAAAGTTGCCTTCAATAGATGCCTAGATTTCATCCCTGCACGTTTAAGCTTTCTTTTTGACAGTGAGACTACATCTAGACTGGCATGATTTTCCTCAAATGTTTTTAGCGGAAAAGTTTTCCGTTAAAAGCATTTGTGGAAAAGAGCGTCTAGATTGGCATGGACGCTTTTCCGCAAAAGCACTTTTTGCAGAAAAGCGTCCGTGCCAATATAGGCGCGCTTTTGCGCAAAAAAGCCCCGATCGCCATT